AAACCCACCAGCCACTCCTCGGAAGGAAGGTTGGGCAATCTACTTCTGTAGTGATACAGCCTCAGAAACCCAAGGAGGGGTTGCTATGAGTCAGGTCTGACTTGACAGCACATAACAACAACAGCAACAACTAGAGGGGGTGCTGTCCTGTCAGCATTTAGTGGACAGAGGCCAGGGATGCTATTCAACTTCCTATAATAGACAGGACAGCCCTCCACAACAAAGATTCATCCAGCTCCAAGTATCAATACTTTTGAGGTTGAAAGACCTTGCAGTGGTTAAGGTACTTGGCTGCTAACCAAAAGATCAGTGGTTCAAGCTCCATGGGAGAAAAACGAGGCAGTCTGCTTCTGAAAAGATTCACCAAAAAACCAAAACCAAACTCACTGCTATCGAATCGATTCCAACTCACAGCGAGTTTCCAAGGTGGTATCTCTACAGAAGTGGATTCCCCAGTCTTTCTTCCAAACAGCTTTGGAAACTGTATGGGGCAGTTCTAGTCTGTCCTCTGGGGGAACTGTGAGCCAGGATTGACTTGCCAGCAGTGGGTTTGATTTGGGCAGTGGGCTTTGCTTCTGTAAAGATTGACAGCTTTGGGAACCCTATGGGACAGTTCTACCCTGTCTTCTAGGGGTGCTGTGAGTCAGAATCAACTCAGCACCAGTAGATTTGGGGTTTTTTAAGGAACAGGAAATGGGAATTGGGCATACTGTTTTCTTTAACAAAGCTTATAAAAAATATTTGACTCTTTATATAGAACTTGGATGAAAAATAAAATCCTAAAGAAAATAATATTTAATTTGTCAAAAGATATTGGCAGTTGAAACAGGTACAGTGACTATGTGACCCTCATTGGAAGAAGTGTGGACATATGTGCATAGGTGATTGAGAGAAAAGAAGCTGTGAATTCAAGGATGATCCCAATAGTGATCCAGCCGATTGTTATAATATAGTTTATAAAATTTATGTTCTACATCCAAGTCTGGTGAGTAGTGTTTGGGGTCTTAAAAGGTTGTGAGTGACTATCTAAGATACCACTGTTGGTCTCTATTCATCAGGAGCAAAAGAGAAGGAAGGAAACCTGAAAATCAGAGAAGGAATCGGACTAACTGTCTCCATGAACCACAGCCACCTCTGTCTCCATGAACCACAGCCTCCTCTACCCTGAGACCAGAAGAACTAGATGGTGCCCAGCTGCCAGTACTAAAGGCAGATGGATCCTGATAGAAATGGAGAACAATGTGGACAGAGCTTCCAATTCTCATAGAATCTAGGCTTACTGGACCCACTAGTACTGGAGGAGTGCCCAGTACAGTTTCCCTGAGATATTTCTTAAACCTTGAATCAAAGCTATCCCCTGAAGTCACCTTTTCACTAAGTAACACGTTAGCTCAAAAAGAATGTCACCCTTGAGTATTGTACTCTTTTTAAAAATTATCTATATGATAAAAAGAAAACCAAAGGTTCATGGAAACAATTAGTCCTAGCAACTGGTACACCATGCAATCCTCAGCCTATATGACTATGAGACCAGAAGAACTAGATGGTGCCC